CAAACTGGATTATTTCTTCAATGCAGATGTGGCCCAAGATCTTAAAAGGTCAAGAAACTTTGCAAGAACCACATCATGTGTGACCAGAACAGCCTTGTTTTAAGTTACTTTTAAGGTTGATAATGATTTAATATATTTTAAGGGGGGGGTTATGTGTTTTTTACAATTGTAAGGGATTGTATTTTAATTGTAATATTATTATTATTATTATTATTATTATTATTATTATTATTATTATTATTATTATTATTATTATTATTATTGGAACCACACCATGTGTCACAACCATTCTTGCAAATGTGAGAGTTCTCTTGAAAAGACATCATACCATCTCACAAGCAATGAGAAGAATTACGAGTTTGTTGTTCTCTCATGCAAGAAGTATTTAAATCCCTAAGTGTGTGTGCCTATTTGAATGGTTGTGCTTCTGTGTCATCAGTTTATTAAAAAATTGCAAACAGAGGTATCTTGTTAACACCCATAAGGAGCTGTATTGTCCCAAATCATGCGCTGTCCATTAGGCTTGTATTCTCTGCTTTAGGAAGGGCTCTCTGAGGATTTTGGGCAGAGATCTGTCTCATCACTGGCAGTTCCTGTGATTCTTTTAATTGGGATGGCTTCTAGGACCTTCTGCTTACAATGCAATGTACAAAACCATTTTGATCTGCTGAAACCGCTGCAGTTCTAGCCTTCAGTAAGGGTTTGATTGGTAGCAAATCCTGACACGTGTTTCGGCTAGAAGATAAACCTTCTTGGTGGCAAATGATGCAATTGATGGTCTATAACAAAACGAGGATATCATTTTTCATTATATTTCTTCTCTTAGGAAGCAACAAGTAATTTTAACAGTTTTATTCCCATTGCAAGAAAGTTTTCAAATACCAAGCAATTTTCACAGACAATACATAATTTGGGATTTATTCTGCTCAAAATTCACAGAAGGTTGCTTTGTGCCGAAAACAGCATTTTCTGCACCAAAAATAAGATGTCTATGCAGAAATATTATTTCCTGCAAAGGTAAAGCTGTTTCCTGCACACACGCGCACACACACACACACACACACACACATATATATATATATATATATATATTCTGTACAAAGCAACCATATGCAGAATTTGCCAGCTGGAAGTATGCTGTAGTTGTTTCCCTTGCTGATTTAGGCTGTGTCTGCACTGCAGAAATAATCCAGATTGACACCACTTTAACTGCCTTGGCTCAATGCTATGGAATTCTGGGAAGTGTAGTTTATTGTGGCACCAGAATTCTCTGCTAGAGAAAGCTAAATGTCTCACAACATTACAAATCTCAGAATTCCATTAACATTGAACAGGGCAGTTAAAGTGCTGTCAACCTGGATTATTTCTGCAATGCAGGTGCAGCCCAAGTAACACATCTGTTGCCTCTGGAAAAGATATAGGGAGTTCTGAATGTGATATCATTTTCTCTGCAGTGCATGACTGGAAAAGAAAGGACAAGATAACAGCACATCCTGCAACTAATCCGCCTACATCCCGACACCATCTTATTCGGGTAAGTGAGATTTTTTTTCACTGGCAGTATTGCATACCTTCCAACATTTCATGGATGGAAAGTGGGACATGCGGCCGAAAAACATCAACATCAAGAGGGCAAAATTCTTAATAAGAAAGGACACACAAAGCTGCTATTTTAAGCAAAAACACCCTGGAGTTTATGCACTGAGTTTAGTAAAGCCTTCTTGGTGGGGGGAAAAAATTGAATGCACCTGTTGTGACAGCCAAGCAGTTTGCAAGGATTGAATTATCCCAAGGACAATGGAGGCATGTGGGAAGAAGATAAACTGGGACATTTTAACAGCAGCTGAGATAGTGGGACAGCAGAGGATTAACTGGGACTGTCCCTGCAAAACTGGGACACTTGGAGGGTATGCTACTGTGCTATAAATTAAATATTGAAAGTGATGCAGAATGTGTTTGATTCATGGTATGGGCTTGTCTACACTTTCATTAAAAAGCAAGGACATTGTATCTCTCTATGGCGGCATGTGGTTTTGTTTAGATCAGGAAAATGGAAACTCTTGCTCTTCCAGGTATTTTGGATTTCAGTCCACAGATGCCCCAGCAAGCATGGCAGATGATAAGGAATGGTGGGCAAATGTTCTCCAACTCTGGTTTATGCTATTCCCTGTGGTTTATTTCTAAAAATGTGAGACACAAAAGGAGAACACAAGACATATTGTGAAGACCTGCTTGAATTCTGTATTGTACCACCCAAGTGCGTGTGTATGTGTGGGAAGATGGAGGGAAGGTTCATGGTTTGGAAAGTTTTTCACATTTTCCTCCTGTGGAAGAGTTCTCTCGGTGTGACATCTGAGAAATGGCTATAGCGATCCTCTGTCTTTCTCTCTGTGTTGAAGTTGCTTACAATATCTAGGGGGAAAATGCTCAAAATATCGTGCATGCACCAAGTCTGATAATTTGAAGTTGGAGGCTCCAACATTGCCCATTCCCTTGTTTAATTCTGCATAATGTTGGCTGGGTTTAAATATCTAGTAGATTGTTGAAGTTGTAAAATGGATTGTATCACTTTAGAGCAGCAGAGGGGGAAATTGGCCACCACAAGACAGTCCTTGTTGGTAGGGTACTTTGGGACTCAGTCAAGAGAAGGTGGCCCTTCACATATTGTTGAACTGCATTTCCTAGCATTAGCTAGGCTGGCTAGGGCTGCTGAATTTTGAAGTCTGACAACATTTGGATAGTGCCATGAATCCCAACCCAGATTCAGAGCAAAGGTGGGATTTCCAAATGCTTACATGCATTGAAACCTTCCCTGAAAGTGGGAAGAAAATTCTTGCAACAGGTACAAAGCAACACTAAGGCATTTCTCTTTCTCCGTCTACTTGTTTGTTTGCAGGGATGAAAAAATATGGGAGCATTAAAGAATTGTATGAAATGCTTTATGAGATAATACTCCATATTCTACCTCACCATCCCATTCTTGTTTGCAACATAAACTGACAAAACTTCTGTTCAATCTGTAGAAGTTCAAGGAAAACTTGCCATATTCATGTTTTAATGGAGTCAGGAGATGCTTGCTTGTTTGTTCAGATGAATGTTTAGACTGGAGCTTGGTTCCTTTTGTGAGAAACTAAGGTGGTGTATATTAAAGAGACAGTTAAATGGTGCTATGATAGCCCCCTTCAGCATTTGGCTAACCTCCTGTTGGGTCTCGTAGTCTTGTATAAAAATACTTGTGTAAATGATAGTTGACCTTTGATGTCTCTTCGAACTCAATGATGCTGTGATAAGAAATGGTATTAAAGCAGTAAAGGATAGAGTTTTTGCATATCTCTTGCTTTCCTATTCTGTTTCTGCTTGGAGTTACATTACACCTTGATGCAGCAGATTGTGGAAGTGGAGTCCACAAACCTTCCCAATTGACTTAAGGTCTAAGCTTGCTTCTTTATTGGGTCATGCAACTCCATGATAGCTGCACATTCCCCTTCTTCCCATCCCCAGCTTCTTCTCTTTTTCCAGCACGTGCTTCTCTCTCTCCCTCCTTCTCGTTCTTTCTCCCTCTTTCCTCCTGTCTCTCCTCTCCAGGACAGTCAAAAGAGACAAGAGCAGGTTGCAGCTTGTACTGTACATACCAAATCCCAGACTAAAATCTGTGAACTGTCAGTTTGATACAGGCGGCGCATGAGACAGCAAACATCAGAGCTGACTGGGCTTAGGCAATTTCCTAGCATGACAGCCCTCCGGAGGGAACAAAGGGATCTTTCAATGCAGAACAAAATTTAGTTCCTTAATGGGGGGAAAAAATGATTCAAGCAGCAAGCAGGTTGGGAGGATGAAGCTAGGAGAAGCCACACCAAAATGTTGCAAATTTGCTTTGTGTCATATTTGGTGATCTCTGGGGCTACCTTAGATGAAGGGGCAGGGTTATTAACTCACGCGATGGGAAATGGCAGGTACCACATCTTGTTCCAAAGGACATTTGCAATCTTATCCTACAGTGAAAGAAAAGCCAATGTCCTAGTTCTCTATCCACTGTAAGGGAATATATACTTGGATGACTACATGCAAATAATGAAGCAGACTGGATGTTTGATTTATGTCTTTCTTTTCTTTTCTTTTCTTTTCTTTTCTTTTTTTAAAAAGTGAAATATGAGATTGCCCAAAGCTTATGAGAGATTGCGGATCCCTTCCTTGATGTCCTGCTGTTTACTTGGGGTGTGCTGTGGAGTGAGATAAATTCGGAAGTAAATGGAATAAGTTTGGATGGATGTGGGAGGTGGTCCGAAAGAGCCCGGGCAAATTCTCAATCCCTAATGCACAATGGGGCAATAAGCAGACGCACGTTGGGAGATGCACAGTCAGTCGCACAACACTGAGATTCAGCAGAAGAGTGGTATAGCATAACCACTGTGCAATTCTGTGATCATAGATTTACACTAGGGGATAGAATTCGGAGACATAGCCAGGTTAGTCTGGAATATCAGTATGCAAAGGGATTTTGTAGCACCTTTGAGACTAACTGTGAGAAAGAAATTGTAGCATAAGCTTTCATAGACTTGGTCTGCTTCCTTAGATGCATGGAGTGAACTGATGCCCGGGAAGGACCTTTATAATCAGACTTTATGAATAGCCATAGAAATGCAAAATGTGTGGGTGTGGTGATGAGGTGACAAATTCAAACTTCCTGGGCACCACTTCATTCCCTGCATCTTAGAAGTAGCTGTAATTTCTTTCACACAGGACAATATCACACTACACTCTTATAGCACTATTATTCCACTTTAATGGCTATGGCTGCCTCCTGTGGGATTCTGGGGTTTGTAGTTTGGTGAAAATTCTCTGGCCCCACCCTAAACTGCAAATCCCAGGATTCCCTAGGTGGGAGTCATAACAGTTAAAATGGAATAATAGCACTATAACAATGTAGTGTAATATTGTCATAATGTGCTAAATGATCCCTTTGCATATAGATTTACCCTAGATGTGCATGATCTCAGAGAGCCAATGTGGCATAGTGGTTTGAGCATTGGACTACGACTCTGAGGACCAGGGTTCGATTCCCAGCTCCTCCATGAAACTCATTGGGTGACCTTGGGTCAGTCACACTCTCTCAGCTCAGAGGAAGGCAAAGGCAAACCCCTTCTGAGCCATTCTTGCCAAGAAGGTTGTCTTAGGTCAAACATGATTTGAAGTCACACAACAAGACCAAAAGCAATCTTCATCGCAGCCAGTGTATGTCTCCAAAATGGAGACATTTTCCCCCAAACTTCCCATATATAGAGAACACCAGAATGGAGAAAGGCTGTAGTTTTTGACTGGCAGCTCTGGCTTCTAATAACAGGGCAATGGTTTTGCCAAGGATCTCTAATAGTGCTTTGGGTAATAGATCACAGGACTGATCCAGTGTTCATTGCTTCTTGCTCTCTAATTCTACCAACAGCAGGAATGTTAAGATTGTTTGGGTGGAATCTGTAGGGCCCAGGAGTGTGTTGCATTGATTGTTTCCTACATAAATACTGAATGTTCAAGTCCTTCTGTCTCTGCCCCTGTTATATGTTCTCTATACCTCACCCACCCTGTCCTATTGCACTTTCTGTGACTCCGGTGCCAATCGAGCAGAAAACAAAAAGGGGAAAAGCTTAAACTGTTTCTCATTTGATGCAGCTCCCTGGCCCGTGTGCCTTGGAAAGATGTCAGATCAGGGAAAGTTGAGTTAGAGAAAGAAATGTATAGTAAAGACAAATACAAAAACTCTCCTCCCAGCCAAAGGAGGGAAAACTTATTTATAGACACATGGCTGTCCAGGGATTGCCAGTCATTGAATAGGTCAGCACTTTCCTGGAGAGTGAACAATATAAGTTGTCAGGTGGAGAAAGCATTGCATCCACCAGTAACTTCATTTTTTTTTCTCTCTCTCTCTCCTGGCTATCTGCAATGAGAAAGAGGAAGAAATCAATGAGAGAGACAACTCCCAGACTTATATCAGGGAAGGAATATGAGCCTGGCAACCTTCTTCCAGAATCGACAAGACTCTGATTCCTCATCTGTTTCTTCTGGTAGTAAAATGGGGAGTAGATTCCCCATAGAGGTAGATTGGCAAATTTCAGGCTGAAATTCAATAAAAAGGCTCCAGTCAGCAACCACCATTACTCTTCTTCCCCAGAATGCAACTGGAATGATGTTACGTGATGATACAGAGTTGCTCTGTCAGGGGCTTCTGGATAAAAGGAAAAAGTGCCCTCTGGTACCAACAGGAACTAGCTGCTGGAGATTAATTTCTCACCCTAAATTGACAGGTATATCAGTGTGTTTGCTCTAAATCTCCATACTCAAGCATATAGACATTGAATATGAACACGATCCTCTGAAAATTGCTGTCTCAGCCTTTCATTATTAGGTAGCGACCAGGTTCCTGCATCACAATCTGTGTTTCATCAGTTTATGAATCTGTAGCTGTGTTGCTGAAACTTTGTTTGTGAATTCCAAAAATGTGGTTTCAGCATTGGACTATGACTCTGGAGACCAGGGTTGGAGTCCCAGAATGGCCATGAAACTCCCCTGGGTGACCTTGGACAAGTCACATGTTCTCAGCCTCAGAGGAAGGCAATGGCAAGCCTTCTCTGAACAAATCTTGCCATGAAAACCCCATGATGGATTCACCTCAAGTAGTCAACAGACTACTTGAAGGCACGCAACAATGAACAACATAATGGCATTGGAAGGCTGTAACAGTCCAACAGTATGTTGTGGGAGACTTTTGTTGTTGCAGAAGATGAAAGGCAATACCAACCTCTGACCTCTAACAATATAATATAGTCCACGATTTCTGTTGACCCAGCCTACCTTATGTGGACAAAGCATCGCCCTGTGGCCACATGTCACCCACCAAAGATATTTTCATGACCCTCCCCAAACAAATCTTTTGCAGGCCAAAAAATGGTTGAATTACTACTCTTGGAAGCCTCCGGGTGCAACAATTTACCTTTTAAATAAATTACAACCAGCTCCCCACCCCTGAATATTGTTTAAGATCCTAAAAAGCCCATTTTTGAGAACCAGCAGTAGACTTCTGGTCACTTGCAGTTTTATTTTGATTTTTCAATAGTCTATGCAGCCCTTGGAGAATTCTACAACATAATAGGAATGAGCACCAGACCTGTCAAATTTGGCTCCCTCCCCTTGTAGGTTTTTCTGTGAAGATAAACAGGGAGGACGGTCTACATGACTCTGACCTACGTTGAAGGTGATCAGGATCAATACATTAATCTTCTTCTTTACTGTTCCAGTCAGTGACCAGATTTTGAGTAAAATAAATATTTTTTTAAAAAAAATCTAAGAAACCATGCAGGAAAATAGAAGCAAAAGATAGCTTTTTAAAAGTGTGCCCCTTTCCTTACTGGACTGAAATGGGCTTCATCAATCCAATTTATAGCTCACTGAGCAACCAATTCAAGCCAGAGCTTGAATAAGGGGGAAACAAAATTTTTATGATTACGATTGGCAGAATCCAAGCTGGTCAAGGGATTCTGGGATCTGCAGTGCAAAGCAAGCATGTTCAGGGCATGAGTGAGTGATGTTTCCATCAGGTTGGTGGGAGTTGGGCTAGGAGAGAAGTTACTTAGGGGCTGAACAGATGGACTCTTTTGGGCAGCGTCCTTCTGCACCTTTCCTTGCTGGATTGGGGCCATCGCACCTTCCCCATTCTCTCAGTGGGGAGACTGTATGACCTGTGGCCCAAACTTTGGTTCTGATGTGAACAGACTGGACAATATCTAGCCCATGCAGCACCGGAAACAAGGTATACCCCTCTTACTGTATTAAAATAGTTCTCTGTTTGCTCCGGATCTTCCCGGAACAGGTCTGGCCTTCCATTCCAATGCCAAGTGGCTGTTTAAAATGCATCCCACTGAGCCACCCTGTGCTACTGCCAATGCCATGTGTCACTCACTCTGAGGTCAGAATGAGGTGCCCAGACATGTGGTCATCACTGGGCACTTAAGTCTGACCTCAGACTGAAGTGATGTATATGGCAGTATTGGGCAACATAGCAGGGCAATCATACAGCCTGGCATTGGAGGGCTAGAGGTAATGGGGAGAGGTCAGGGCAGATTCAGGCCCAGAATTCTCCAGACTGCCCCCAGACTATCCTGCCCAGTGCAGATAGGCTCTACCATATATATTTGACTATAAGTCGACCTCATGTATAGGTCAAGGACAGGTTTGGGGCCAAAATTATGGATTTTGATATGACCCATGCATAAGTTGAGGGCAAAACTTAGAGGCATGAAATCCCAGAAGATCTAAAGCAGCAATTCCCAAACTTTAGTCTCCCAGATGGTCTATCATTTGTTTCATGAACTCCCAGAAGCCCAACCAGCTTGGCCAACAGTCAGGAACTCTGGGAGCTGAAGTCCAAAACATCTGGAGGACCAAAGTTTGGGGACCACTGATCTAAAGGATGAAACAAAGGAAAACAATGCCAAAGAAGTTACAAAATCCCTGCAGGCATAACTGTTTATGCTCTCCCTAAAGGCTGGATGGATAAGAGAGTAGAGCGGGGATCAGTGCTTCCAGGACAGATGATACCTTTGCCTTTCATCAGGGGATGGTTCTTTTTATTAATAAGAGTTAAAGAACAGTACTTACATTGACCAGCATGATGTAGTGGTTAGAGTGTTGGACTATGACTCTGAAGACCAGGGTTCAAATCCCAACTCAGCCACAGAAACCCACTGGGTGACCTTGGGCAAGTCACACTGTCTCCACCTCAGAGGATGGCAATGGCAAGCCCTCTCTGAAGAAACCTGCCAAGAAAACCCCATGATTGTTCATCTGAGGGTTGCCATAGGTCGGAAATGACTTGAAGGCACACAACACAAGCAAACCTAATTTGACCCATGGATAAATTGACTCAGGTTTTGGGGGGGTCAATGTTTTGACTAAAATTGCTAGACTTACACCTGAGTATATACAGCCAGTAGCTGCTCCAGAATCCTTGCCTTGGATTTTACAAGCCAGATGGGAAAATAATTGAAATGTATTTCTTGTTCCTCTGTCAATTGGGCAGTGAACTCCCATCTTGGGAAAGGGGAAAATAGTTAGCTCATTTTGCCGTTCAGCCCTGAATGTCACTTTAATGTTAAATGAGGGGGAAATGGCTGGCATGGAGAAGAGAGCAAGAAGAGTTATGCAGCCCCTGATTCGTTTTGGTTTACGCTGTGATCCTTTATGGTGAATTACACCTTGAAATGCACAAAGCAAAGGACGGGGGATTTTTTAAAAAGCCTTTTTCTTTCTTTTAAAAAAATTACCTTCTATGAAATATTTAGGGAGCTCTGCTTCCCATAAAGCGAAAGAGAGGGGGGGAACCCTGATCTAATTACTCTGAGAAGGCTTCTTGGGATTTCTTTGAATAAGGAGGTGTTACTTGAAGATGGAGAAAGGCCTCATTAAGGAAACAAAAGTGGTTGTGGGTTCAAGAGTTGGTTAACCCTACTGGTTTTGTGGAATCTGGATGGCCATTGTGTCTCTGAGCAGCTCATGGCTATTAGATGTCAACGCTTCCTGGCAAGAATGTATCTGTATTTTTGAGCTCATTAAGGACTTGTTTCGCACATTATATGTGTATGTATATGTTCAGCACAGCAGGGGCTGCCTGGTATGGATACAAACATGAATTATGTATTGGCTTTATTTATTGCCTTTATGTCCCAATTCTCCTTGCTGCTTTCTTTTCTGGAACTATCGTTCACCTTCCAGACTGATTATGAGATCAGCCCCAGTTCCTTCCTAAGATTTAGTGGATCAAAACAAGGGTGCGTTGATATTGCCTCTTTCTCCTGCCAACAATTTGTTGTTGATGATATGCTGTTGGTTCCTATCAAGCCAGTGTTGACTTATGACAACCCAATGACTGAGACATTTCCAAAAGCCGCATTATCATGGTGGCCTAAAGCTGATGTTTAATTTCAGTTGAAAGAATGGGTTATACAGATGGGTTGACATCATTCCGCTGTTGATTCAATAGATCTACTCCAATTGGGATTAACAACTGGATTTTGGCCTTGGGGAA